CAGCTGCAGCAGCAACGGGAGCAGACCCGCGGCTCCCGAAAGAAACGCCCGCCCCGCCTCCCGAAGAAGCAGAAAACGAAGAAGAAAAAGAAAAAGAAAACGAAAACGAAAAAGAAGAAAAAGAAGAAAAAGCAAAAGAGTCCCCCGGCGTGGGCTGCAGCAAAATAAAAATAGCTGCGCTGCGCTTCATCGACGCCCGCGGCTCCGGGCTGGTCTCCCTCGCAATCGAAGCTTTGAATTATGCAATAAAAAATAAATTTAAAATTTCAATAAACTCGTGGGGGGGCCCCTTCGAGTCTGCTGCGCTGCGGGGGGCGCTGCAGCGCAGCAGCAGGCAGCAGCAGCACCTGTTCGTTGCTGCTGCGGGCAACCAGGGGGCCCCCCTGCATGCAAAGCCCTCTTATCCTGCTGCTTACAACTTGCAAAATGTTTTAACTGTTGCTGCTTCGGACCAGAGGGACTTGTTGGCGGCGTTCAGCAACTTTTCCGAGGTGTACGTACACCTCGCGGCCCCCGGAGTCGACATCAAAAGCGCCTTTCTCAACAACTCCCTTTTGCTGCTCTCCGGCACCTCCATGGCAGCTCCTGCTGCTGCTGCTGCTGCTGCGCTGCTCTTTGCTGCTGCGCCCACAAACCCCCACGAAGTCAAACAGCTCCTGCTGCAGCACACCGACAAACTCGAAGCTCTCAAAGGTATTTCTCATTTACTTTTATTATTTATTTGTTTTATTTATTCAGTTTATTTATTTGTTTATTTATTTGTTTATTTATTTATTTATTTATTTATTTATTTATTTATTTATTTATTTATTTATTTATTTATTTATTTAATTTTTTGTTTGCTTGTCTGCTGATGCTGCTGTTTTGCTGCACTTGTTTTGCTGCAAAAGGAATTCTCGCTTTTCGCACTTCAGAAGCGTTTCCAGTTGCCATTTATTTATTTATTTATTCAGTTTATTTATTTATTTATTCAGTTTATTTATTTATTTATTTATTTATTTATTTATTTATTTATTTGAATCTAATTATTTGGATTTAATTATTCCTTTTGGGTTTTTGAAATTCAGGGAAAGTGCAATCGGGGGGGCGGCTGAATGCGTATAAAGCGCTGATGGCCTTCAAAGAGCTGAAGCAGCAGCAGCAGCAGCAGCAGCAGCAGAAGCAGCAGCAGCAGCAGCAAGAGGAGGAGCTTCGGAGGAAACAGCTAGCAGCAAATAACAACCAGTTGTCTCCTTTTGTCTCCTTTTTGACTTCCACTTGGGCCCTGGCCTTTTTGCCTTTTCAGTTCCTCGCCAGACTCATCGGTGCTGCTGCAGCAACGCAGTTCCTGCAGCAGCAGCAGCAGCTGCTGCTCCTCACGCAGCAGCACAAGCAGCAGCTGCAGCAGCAGCACCAGCAGCGGCAGCACGAGGACAAGGAGCTGGTCCTACGACGCGAAGTGCCACAGCAGCAACAGCAAATTGCACTGCAACTCCAACTATAAGAGCAGCAGCAGCAGCAGCAGCAGCATCTAGTCCAGCTGCTGCAGCTGCTGCAGCTGCTGCTGCAGCAGCAGCAGTTAGAAGCAGCAGTTCACTCCCAAAGAAATAAAGAAATGAAAGAGAAAACGAAAAGAGTAAAAAGATAAATTAAAAAACGAATAAAAATAACGGAAATAAGCAAAATAAAAAAAAAGAAAGAAATTCAAAGGCAGTTAGTTACATGGAAAGCTTCAAAAAAAAGAACAATAAGTGGTTAATTGAATAGTAATAGTTGATAAATAAATAAATAAATAAATAAATTAAATAAAAAATAAACAAATAAATAATAAATAAATACATGAATAATAATAAATAATGAATTCATTATAAAGTGAAACATTTTTATCAAATTCTATTTTCTTTTTCTTTTTGCGAAATGACGGTGGCGGCTGAGGTGTACGTGCACCTCGCGCCCACTTTCGTTTTTGACTTTTCTGTCGAATTCTTTCTTTTGCAAATTTGGAGTTATTTTGTTTTATTTATTAAATTAATTCAATTTAGTTTTATTCTAATTCATTTAAATGCATTTAAATGCATGTAAATGCATTTAAATGCATTTAAATGCATTTAAATTCATTTATTTCCACTTTCAGTCTAGTGCAACTCTTTCGCTTGTTGAAAGGGGGCTTTTTGCATGCAGCGTTCACAAATAAATGCCATTTAAAGGAAAAGAATTTAATTTCCATTAAATGGCATTTATTTTTACTTTTTAGTTTAAATATATTTAAACTAAAAATGATTTTATTTTCAAATAGAAAAGAAAAAGGCTTTGATGCAAAAAAAAAAGAAAAAAGCATTCCCAGCTGTAACGCCAGCACGACATATTAAATAAATAAATGAATAAATGAATAAATAATAAGTTATAAAATAAAGTAAATAAATAAATAAATAAATAAATAATAATTGATGAATTGATTGTTTAATTAGATCTCTTTTTGCCTTCTTTTTATTCTCCAAGTTTTAAATAACTTGCTTTCTGTCTTCCCATATTCGCACGTAAACCCTAAGCCCTAAACCCTAAACCCTAGAGCGAGTCGAATCAAAATAAATTTGAAGAATTGAGAAAACGAAAAATAAAAAAAGAAGATGTTTGTTTGCTGCTAGCCGCCGTTTTATCTTTTATTTCTTTATTATTTTCTTTTAATTGTAATAAATATATTTTTAAAATAAATTAATTTTCCATTTTCGATAATATACTTTTATTGTCTATTTAGTTGTCTGCTGCTCCTCGCAAGAGCTTGGAAATCGAAAGCTCGTTTACTTTTTGCTGCTGCTGCTGCTGCTGCTGCTGCTTCTGCTGCTGCTGCTGCTGCTGCTGCATGCATTAATCATTGGAAGATCCTCGTCTCCAGAAAGCCCCTGAAATGGCTTGCAGCAAACTGCCTCCTACGCCCTGAAATAAAGCCCCAAAACAGTCCCCACAATCTCGCATGCATGCATGCATGCACCCATGCATGCACCCATGCATGCATGCATGCATGCATGCAAGCATGCATGCATGCATGCATGCATGCATGCATGCAAGATAGAG